CCTTATATTTATAATTGAATGTCTACCAACCATTTGAGTTATTGTCCTACATCATTTTTATAATTATAATTGATAAATATACGATTAGATTAAGAAAACTGTTAGCGTGACTTGAATCGGACTATCGGCCGCTACGACTGGAATAGTCGGGGGCCCGGTTAGCGAGTGGGGTCCAGGGGCAACGCCCCCGGCCCGCAGTGTATGGGCTCAATGTTATTTGGGTTTGGGTTCTGGGCCTGGTCTGTAACCGTTTCCTTTGTCATATTAGATTAAGTTTAGACCCACATGGAAAAGTATTATAAATACTTCTCATACTTCTCTGTAATCTCCTCGATATAGTGAAACTGGCTCTCTCTCGCCCGTGGACTAGCTAACACACATCGTGTTATTGAACCACGTAAATAGTGTGTCGTATTTCGATTCTCGCTTTCGTATTCTTGCTTTGTCGATTCCGACGATTTCCCGATCCGTAGCCGCGCGTTTATAAAAAAACTATAAACTATGCACTATATGGAGTAATTAACTACGTACGTACTCACGATCAATCAAATTGCCAAATTTTGGGGAGGAAAATTTAGTATTAATTTATATGTTCTTGTTTCTTTCTTATAAGCATTTCTCATTGTTGCCTTTAGGTAACAACAGAATCTCGAACAGTGAGCAGTTAACATCAATCGAGATGTTCAACGTATGCTTTTCATTTCGTAGTAAATTAGATAAATGTTTTGTTGTTTGTTGCGACTTTTAACCCAATTTAATTAGGGTTTAGTAGTTATTGGATTCCCCTTTCGGTTATATCAATCAACGAATGACGTGCAATTCTTGTTAATTCTTATGTTTCTATAGCTTAAGAAGAGTTGCCCTTTTTTTATGCTCTCTTATATTTTCTAAGTAATACGCATTTTGATATTATAATACTAATGGTTGGAATTTACAGAGAAATGGATCGATTAAGACTGCAATTAGGGTTTAGTAGCAAGTCATTTTCCGATGAGATGTGATTTTCATTCTTAATTATGTTGCCTTCCCACCGTGAAAACAATATCTAGAGTTTGTATCAATAGGATTTTGGAGTATGGTATTATACTCTAATGAGTAAAATTTAGGTTCTAGTTCTCTATATTCTACAACCTTGAACCCTAGAATGACACAATCTAGTATGTTGGATGTATTTCGACGAAACAAAATCGTTGGTTATTGTTCCTAATTAAATTAATCTTAGCGCATGAGATTTAGAAAATTAGGACCTAACTAATTAGTTTTTACTCATTATTTATGATATAGTAACATATGCCATAAACTTCGGTTATTAGTTCATGATGTAGATAGGGTTTCCCACATAGAGGAAAATATTTACAGGAAATTAAATCACTGAATTTTGCATGGGAACTCAACTTTTACATGCACTTACGTGAAGCCGTGTCTCCAATATATCTAGCTTTTCCTTCAATCCTCTTCTTATCTTTAGTTACATTAAGTAATTACGTACCTGACTTTGAGACCAATGTTAACAAGAGTAATAATACTTAAAATGGACATATGAAGAATGGATATAATTACTTCAAGTTTTTACTACATGAGGCATTTTTATCTACTTATATTTATAATTTGCCCAATTCAGAATACATCGTTCTTCGAAATATATAGATTCATTTAAAAAAAAAAATTCACACATCAGCATCTTATAACTCATATACACACCGTAAACAATTCGATCGCCTCGCAAAATTTATTCACTATCGACATTGTCTTCTTGTATTCATTTGAAACAATCGGTCATAAGAAAGAACATCCAACTTGTTTTTTTCAAGCCTTATTCCTCTGCTAACTTACAGCTAAAACAAACAAATATGACAAGAATTTGAGAAATAAATCGGTAAAAGGGGAGAAAAGAAAAGAGAAGACTTAATAATAAAAAAAAAAAAACGATCGACAACCAATGAGGAGACATGGAATAATAAGTATAACGGCTTCCCGGCGACCGGCGAAGTATAAGTTTATAGTTTAAACGACTCGAAGGATCAGAAACGACGGCCGGAAGACAGCACATCGCCATGGATATACCACAAATCCTGGAGAATATAAGAGAGAATAATGCTTTGGGTATATGGAATAAACTGGCCTTTTGATTACATTGTATTGGACCTAATTGTGACCCCTCAACTTTGTGGCGTTTTTTAAATTTGATCATTTTCATTGAACTTGACAGATTTTTTCTTATATGATGTGATCCAGTTTAATCAGCAAATTTTAGTTGAATTGGCCTTTTCGTGTTCTCGATCTATAAAAACGATCATGTTGATTTTCTCAAATCGTGTTATGTTGGTAATATATATAACTCGAGTTACTAAAAAATTTTGAAAATAATGAATCTTCTACACATTCCCTTACACTCTTTCTGCACATAGAGGCATACGATCTGCTTAACTACGTAATCCGTTGATCTTTGGAGCCGTCAGAATTTCAATACGGGATTCCTTAAATAAAAACAATTTATCCCCAATAACTTAACCTGTTGAGAGAGATTCAATATATAAATGTGTGTATCATTTCATTACACGAAGATCAATATCAAACTAACTCAATAAAACCTAGCATAAATGGTAACAAGAACCACCAAGCATAAAAGGGCTTATTTCGAGAAAAAAGCGAGGTCTAGATTGATGTGATCAGAGGTTTTCTAGTGCAGGGAGCAAGGATTTGGTGAATGCATTGAAGATGGGTCGATGTGGTGATCTCTGTCATTGGCCACGCCTAGTTCACCGATCACGATAAGATCATCTCTGCCATTTGTGATTACTTTTTCACTGATTTACTAGCCTGATCAACCATATCGTGATAATATGTGGTATTTTTTGCGAGGCGCTTATTGTAACGTTCGACATGTTTACTAAAAAGGTGACAACCAATTTCAAATTGAAGAGATGCATATATCAACAAGGGTCTTAACTAGTTGTGTTACTACACAATGATAAAAAGGTGGACCGGATATCATGAGACTATCAAGCTTATGGGTGTGAAGATAGTCTTAATAAGTGTATATTGACAAATAGTTCTAGAAAATAGAAGGCGACCAACAATCTATATTCATTAGCCTAATTCCAATAATAATTAGTTGTAAACACTAATTATTAGTCAAACCTTTCCTGCATTCTTTTTATTAGTCAAACTTATTGAATTACTAATAATTAATAAAATGTTAGCTTTCAGTTAGCAATTTTGTTAGTAATGTTGAATTGGCAACGTGATACTGACTTAGAAGACACATATAGAGATCAACATTCCAAAATTTTAATATTTTGACTAAGAAACAAGTTATAAAATTATTAATTGTAACATAAAAATTACTCATATTTTGTTTTTTATAAAAATGACTAATATTTTGATGCATTACGAAAGACTTGGCTAATTATAGTAATTTAATAGGTTTGACTAATATAAAGAATGCGAAAAAGGTTTGGCTAATAATTAGTATTTATCCCAAGAATTACTTATGGTTAAAGTCACATTAACAAAGACCTGATTTTTCATTTTGATTAGTATGATTGATTGGATAGTGTAACTTTCCCTAACATAAACCCCCTTTTCCTCTCACAGAAAAAAACTCGAATCAGTTTTGTAAGTTTGTTTTTGATAAACCCATTGCTTGTAATAAAAAACTTCCAATCATTAATATTGTATTATGTAACCTTTAAGCCTCCAGTTACATATAAAAAGAAATAAAACATAAAAAAGAAGAAAATCTGCCCTATATAAATATATCATCCTATTTACAAAAAAAAAAAAAAATCAATATAACAAGTCTTGCTAATCAAGTTGAACTGAATATCGTGCCAACATCCTTGCCTCATTATTCAAAAACTCAACAACATGACCGTTTTGCGTAACAATCAATTGAGCGCTTACCAAATCAAACACCCACCTCTTCCGACAACATGATCTCTTGAGACTCTTTGAATAACAATATAATCATATCTTTCTTTCTTCTTACTTTCACCCACTTCACAGAAATTACCTTACACATTTTTATTAGAGTATGAGCAGCACGGGTAGTATTGTGTTATATTTACGAGTACTGTTATGTTATGTAGTTGGACATAGTTCTATTCCTTATCAAGAATCGTAAAAATAAAGATAATTTTCATATTAGTGTTACTGTTATTATAAAAGTCAGTCATTGGACATAACACTTTGTGATTTCAATAATACGAGACAACAATTTTCACTGTATTCTAATTTATCAAAATGATATGATCAGAGCCTAGTTCCGGCCTGCAAAGAATCTCTCCGCAACTCATCCACTCTACATTGGACCGCGACCTTGAATTACCGTGGAATAATACCCTGTCATAAATATGCTTTTATGCTTAGAAGTAGAAAAAGAACCCTGGAGGCGTAATTACCAAAGGACTCTCGATCGAGACCTCCGCTGAGAGAGCATTTTCCTTCCATTTTTGCTCTGTCGTCTTCCCCGTTGGATCTCTTCAGTCTTTGCAGTTTAAATACCCACAAGTGAGCTCAGCCAGATCTTCATTCAATCACTCGAGAATGGATCGGCTTTAACTTTCTTTTCCCCCTCACTGGAACTCCCGCCATCTGGCAGCAGCCCGTTTCACCGTCTCCCCTCAACCCCAACAGAGGAAAAGGTAAGCAGGAAATCGACCCACCAGCCATTTTTATAAATTTCAGGTTTCACTGTTCCTGCCGGTTGTTTCCCCCCCACTTACTGAATAGACAAAACTGGTGTAGGGGATTATAAAATTGCATAAGTAGGCTGCAGGCGGGAATTACATCACATTGTGTTTTTCCCCTGATAAAAATACTCTGTTTCTCCATCCCCTGAAACCATTTTCTCCTTCCCCTGTATCTACGGTTTAATTTGGTTTCCGTTAGCAGATGTAATAGTAACAATGGAATTACAGGAATCGGAGGCAGAGATATTTCAGCCTTTCGGGGCATTGGATTAGGAAAATAACGGAAACAGAGGAGAAAAGAAAGAAATGGACCCGACCGTTCCAATTGACGATCAGTTCTCCAAGCTGCATCCTTCTCTGCCTGTGAGCACCAGGTTCTGCATAATCGGAGCCGGCCCGAGCGGCGTTTCGGCGGCGTATGCGCTCACCAAGCTTGGATACAGAAATGTAACCGTACTTGAGAAGCATCACACCGTTGGTGGGCTGTGTGAATCTGTGGATATCGAAGGTAAACCCAAAAAACAGAGCATTGCAAGAAAGAAAGAAAGAAAGAAAAAAAAAAAAGAGCATAAAGCTACTTCCTTTCTGTTTATCATCCCCTGTTTTGATGTTCTCATACGATTTTTCTTTCTGGGTTCGATTTGTCAGGGAGGGTTTATGATCTGGGCGGTCAAGTTCTCGCCAAGAACAGCGCGCCGGTTATATTCCACTTGGCGAAAGAAGCTGAAGCTGAATTGGAAGAAATGGACTCTCATAAGCTTGCTTTGATTGATAGCTCTACTGGGAAGTATCAGGACAACAAGGTTGCTGATGACTATGTCTCTGTAATTACCCTCACATTGGAACTCCAGGTAACGGAAAAGGAAAAGTTTCTACTCTGAATTCCCTGGTTAAACGAATTCTTGATTCCCCTATTGAGTTTTTCTCCTTCTGCTTCGTTTCAGGATAAGGCCAAGGCTTCAGGAAGAATTGGGGTTCATGCTGTGAGCGAGCTAGCATCAGATTTAACTCCGGCATACCTCGAATCCCACGGCTTGAAATCTGTTCCCAAATCCGTGGCCTATGGATACACAGCTTCTGGGTACGGGTTTGTTCAGGACATGCCGTATGCTTACATTCACGAGTTCACCAGAACATCCATGGCTGGGAAGATCAGAAGGTTCAGAGATGGGTACACTAGTCTGTGGAAGAAGCTGAGTGAGTCCCTGCCGATTGATCTCCGTTGCCAGAGCGAAGTGCAGGCGGTTCGCCGCGATTCTGATGGGGTTAGGGTTGATGTGAAGAGGAATGATGGTGGAGGAGTTGAAACCTTGGAGTTTGACAAGATCGTGATCTCTGGCTCTTTCCCTTTCAGGATTGGGACAACCTACAGATCACCAAGTGTCCACTCATCAGGTTTTTTTTACTTAAAACTGTCTTCAGAGTTGGTCAAAAGCTTATTCCTTTTGTACTGTGTTCCGTTTTTAGGTGCCAAATGGGTCTAGTTGGATTGTCGTGACAGATAATGAATTTGTCCCTAAATAGTAGACAATTATAACCGAGTTGAGTTCTTGTTTACTTATAATGTTTATGTGTCAAATTGGTCATCCACGTACATGAGTTAGTAAAGCTTATTCCTTTCTCATTATGTTGATCTCTTTTTTATGTGCCAAATGTATCTAGTTGGGTCATAATTGATGATAGGTAATTGTGAGTACAATCAAAACGAGTCACAGGGCATCATAACTTATTGATTTGTGTCATAAATAGGTCGGGTTACAATGATAACTTGTCAACTGGTCAACTTATAATCGACTCATATATAATGATCAGGATCGAGTTTGAATCGAGTTAGTGGGTTGGACGAAACAATTTTGTACTTCTTCTACTAAAGATTCTTTCTTTTCCCCCTCCACATGGCAGTAGATGAAGATCAAGTGATGGATCTAACTGACCTTGAAAATGAGTTGTTTAGCAAAGTCCAAACGATCGACTATTACACAACGGTTATGGAGATTAAAGGGTTGGAGGATATGCCAGTTGGGTTTTACTACTTTGGGGAGTTCATGGAGGACCCTGCCACGATTGGACACCCGATCGCGATGCAGAAGTACTATGCTGATTCGGACATTTTCTTGTTCTGGTCGTATGGGAACTCGGCAGATGTCATGGGACCTAAAGTCGCCGAACTTGCTCTGAAAGTGGTGAAATCTATGGGAGCACAAGCACAGCAGGTTGTTTTGCAACGTAGATTCAAGTACTTCCCTCATGTTTGCAGCCAAGGTAATGTTTCTCCTAATACTGACTATTTTTTGTGGGAGCTTAAGGTCAAGGAAGGTCATTGAAGTCAAATAATTAGGACACATCAAGTATTGAATTCGTTTTTAGAACAAAGAAAGCATTGTAACTTCTTGACATTTGGGACGTGGTAGGCATCCTCTATATTTTTAGTTACCTTTAGATACTCTAAGGTTATACTCAAACTCTATCCTAAACTATAGGTGGACAAAATTTTCTCACGCACATTTCGAACTCCATGGTTTGGTAGTATTATTTTAAATTTGGTTAAAGCCTCCCAGAGATGTCAAATTCTGAATGACAAAAAGGATGAGATTCTAATTGTCTGTCTTGATCATGATATGAGCTCAGATATGAAGAATGGATTCTATGAAAGGCTGGAGAATGAGCTTCAGGGACAGAGTAACACTATTTATGTTGGTGGGCTTATGGCATTTGAGCTTACAGAGAGAAACTCATCTTATTCCATGGCTACCATCTGCAAGCACTTTGCTAGTAACAACTCCTTGCCCACATTCCCTTATGTTAAGGTGATTTGCTATTTCCCTAAACAACATGAGCAAACGATAATTATCAACTCAATCTGATATTCTAACGAATTGTGTCTCTTTCTATTCCATTTTTCCAGAGCTTATTCTCACTGCAAGCTAACATCCAAACCAAGAAACTACAGCAACTAGGAGAGATTGCAGGAGTGGAGTTCCCAGATCTGCCCAGCCTCGACGCTTACCTGAAACACTGGGGGACTCTGCCATCAACGAAGGACAAAACACTCTACACATGGATCAACGAAGAAGGCATCGTCGTTTGCAAGAGGACTTACGCCGAATTGAATGCCAATGCTGCCTCCATTGCTCACCACATGTTGACCAGCCGGAAGCCGGTCATCAAACCCGACGACCGTGTGTTGCTTGTGCATGTCCCGGGCTTGGACTTTGTCGACGCGTTCTTTGGTTGCATACGAGCCAGAGTCATCCCGGTTCCAGTCCTCCCACCGGACCCGATGCAGAGAGGCGGTCAGGCTCTATTGAAGATCGAGAACATCGCTAAATCCTGCAGAGCAGTGGCGATCCTCTCGACTGGATTTTACCACACTGCGGTTCGTGCCGGTTCTGTCAAGCAGCTCATATCGCTGAGCGGGAAGAAGAATAGGAATGAGGTTCAAGCACGGTGGCCTAATCTTCCATGGTGCTATACAGATTCATGGGTTAAGAAGGGCACGAAATCCATGGCTGCTCAAAACTCAGCCGAACCCGAACAACAGGACTTATGCTTCTTGCAGTTCACCTCAGGATCTACTGGAGATGCTAAGGGGGTCATGATAACTCACGGTGGACTCATTCACAACGTGAAGATGATGAAAAGGGTTTACAGGAGCACGTCGAAGACGGTTCTGGTTAGTTGGTTGCCTCAGTACCACGACATGGGGCTGATTGGCGGGCTTTTCACCGCCATGGTTAGTGGCGGAACCGCTGTCTTGTTCTCTCCATTGACGTTTATAAAAAACCCACTCTTGTGGCTGAAGACAATGAGCAATTACAGAGGAACTCACAGTGCGGGCCCGAACTTTGCTTTCGAACTGATGGTGAGGAGGCTAGAAGCTGAGAAGGATAAAGGTGGCAGAAGAAGCTCTTATGATCTTTCTTCCATGGTTTTCCTAATGGTTGCCGCCGAGCCAGTGAGGCATAAGACGTTGAAGAGGTTTCTCGAGCTAACTCGTCCATTTGGGTTGTCTCAAGAAGTGATGGCGCCTGGGTATGGCTTGGCCGAGAATTGTGTGTTTGTGTCATGTGCTTATGGTGAAGGGAAACCCGTCTTACTTGATTGGCAAGGTAGGGTTTGTTGCGGGTACGTGAGTTCAAACGACATTGACATGGATGTCAGAATTGTTGATTCTGAAAGTGGAGAAGAGGTTAAAGAATGTGGGGAAGAAGGAGAAATTTGGATCAGCAGTCCAAGTGCGGGGATTGGGTACTGGGGAAGGGAAGAGTTAAGCCACTGGACTTTCAAGAATGAAATCTCCAACGACAAGTCTGAGAAGAGGAGAATTTACACAAGAACAGGGGACTTGGGGAGAATCATTGATGGGAATCTTTTCATCACCGGAAGAATCAAGGATCTCATCATTGTAGCTGGAAGGAACATCTACTCAGCTGACGTGGAGAAGACAGTTGAGAACTCGTCAGAGATACTCAGGCCAGGTTGCTGTGCTGTGATTGGTGTTCCTGAAGAAGTCTTGTCGGCAAAATCCATCCTAGTCCCAGACAGCTCTGATCAAGTAGGGTTAGTGGTCATTGCAGAGATCAGGGACAATGTTAAGTCCATCGACAAGGAAGAAGTAGCACGACAGATCAAACTTAAAGTTGCAGAGGAACATGGCGTTACAGTGGTTGCCATCAACTTGATTAAGCCTCGAACGATTAGCAAGACAACGTCGGGGAAGATAAAGAGATTTGATTGTCTCAAACAGTTTACAGACGGAACTCTAAGCTTGGTTTCGGAAAAATCTTTCTCGAAGAGGAAACTATCCTTCAAGCTGAGCAAAGATCAGGAAAGATCAATGTCTCGATCAAACACTATGGTCCCAGGAAATGCTGGCAGATTGAGCAACAAACAGATTGTGCAGTTTTTGAAGGAAGTTGTCTCTGATCAGACAGGAGTTCTTATCAACAACATATCCACAAATGAGAACTTGTCGTCATATGGGATCGATTCCATTGGCGTCGTCAGAGCTGCTCAAAAGTTGTCGGATTTCCTCGGAGTGCCCGTTGGAGCAGTAGATATCTTCACTGCAACTTGCATCGGCGATCTAGCAACCTTTTCGGAGAATCTCTTGATGAAATCTCAACCAACTGGATCGATGATGAATAATTCTTCACCCTCGGAAAATAATGAGGTCCTTAACTTTGCAGAAGATTCGACGATGCCAGAAGCTTCCACGACCCGCAAGATCCTTGTATGGTGCTCTCAACTTCTTGCCCTCATTTACGTGGCTACCCTGTTGAGCTTCCCAGCTTACTTCTCCATTTCGACATTCACAAGTCTGCTTTCTAATGTTGATACATTGGTTGGCGGGGGAGTTTGGTTGACCACATTAGCTTTGGCACCTCTTGCATGGATTCTCTGCATGGTCGCGACGTGTGTGGTCATTGCATTATTTGGCAAGCCTTTCCTACAACCGAACTATGCTCTGTCGCCAGAAGTTTCGATTTGGTCGATGGATTTTGTGAAATGGTGGGCGCTTTATAAAGTCCAAGAAACTGCTTCAAAAGCGCTTGCCGTGCATTTAAGAGGGACGGTGTTCTTAAACTACTGGTTTGCCATGCTCGGAGCTCGAGTCGGGTCAACGGTTTTGCTTGATACTATTGATATCACGGACCCATCATTGGTCTCGATTGGAGATGGTGTTGTGATCGCCGAAGGTGCACTAGTACAAAGCCACGAGGTAAAAAATGGAGTTCTTAGTTTCCTTCCGATCAAAATTGGTCGGAATTCCTCTATTGGTCCGTACTCTATGATCCAGAAAGGGAGCGTTGTGGGAGAAGAAGTTGATGTTCCGCCATTGCAGAAGACTCCAGCTAGTAAGACTGTTTCTAGATCAAGCAAGGTAAACTTGCTCATTACATGTTAAGTTATTTCATTATTATCTTACATTATGAATAATGTATGATTCTATGAGGTTTATATTGCAGGATGAAGTGCATCCCGATTGTAATATTTTCCCGAGGAACGCCTTGTCTCACTTCCTAGGAATCTACATGGTCGGCCTCCTCAGCAGTTTCTCAGCAGTTATCGTCTACTTCGTCTACATCTACCTATCTCAACAACCACCTTCATTGCAACAATTCTCCCTCTCTTGCATTGCTGGAGCTTTCCATTGGCTTCCATTCACAATCATTGCATATGCCACGATTCTCCCCGGGAATCTCCTTACTAGCCCACTCACCTTCGCCACATCACTTGCCATCTTTTACTTGGCACATGGTCTGATCCTCATCTTCCTCACCGGAGCCTTCACTCGCTCCCTTGCTGGGAAACCAGACAAAGAGAACACGCCTCTCAACACTTGGCTTCGCCACCGCCTCACTGTCTCCTGCCACTTGAAATTCGCCAAGCTCCTGTCTGGAACAGAAGCCTTCTGCATGTACTTGCGCATATTGGGAGCAACGATTGGGAAGCACTGTTCGATTAGAGCCATCAACCCTATATCGAATCCCCGACTCATGAGGATTGGGGATGGTGTTCATCTCGGCGACTTTAGTAGAATCATTACAGGGTATTACTCATCGTCATCGTCGTCTAATGGGTTCACTTCAGGTAAAATTGAGGTCAACTCTAACTCTGTGGTCGGAAGTCAAAGCTTGATCCTTCCCGGTGTTGTTATCCAAGAGAATGTCATTCTTGGAGCACTTTCAATCGCTCCGGTGAACTCCACTCTCCGGTGTGGTGGAGTCTACATTGGGTCCCAAGCTCCTGTAATGATTAAAAACACAATGCATGCTTTGGATGAACGGATTGAAGAAATGGACACCAAGTACAAAAAGATCGTCGGCAACTTGTCAGCTAGCTTAGCTGCAACCACTCTGAAAGTGAAATCAAGGTACTGATAAAAAAAACTATAATTCAATAGAAATTGTAGTAATTTGATACATCGTACTCCTGAAAACAAGTTGTACATTCCTACTACTAATAGTTTCCATGTATGTACTTTGACAGATATTTCCATCGAATTGGAGTCAGTGGAAAGGGACACCTTAAAATCTACGACGACATCAAAGGACGGCTACCGGATCACGAGATCTTCCAAGGTGGTAAAACTTACCCAGTTGTGGTCCGCCACAGCAACAGCTTGAGCTCTGACGATGATGCTAGGATTGATGCTCGAGGGGCGGCAATCAGGATCCTCTCTGAGGATTCCAAGTCCCAGCTCCTCGACCTGACATTGAAAACAGGGAACGCCTTCTATGCTCGCACCATATCTGATTTCGCCACATGGTTGGTGTGCGGACTTCCAGCAAGGGAAGCCCACGTGAAGAGAATGCCACATATTCGGGATGCAGTGTGGAACTCTCTCCGGAATTCAAACTCCTACACTCAACTCCATTACTTCTCCAACTTTGTGCGCCTTCTGAGGTGCAAAGACGGACATGAGATGTACGTCAGGTTCAAGCTGAGGCCCGCCGACGAAAGCATCAATGAGGATGCTGGTGAAGTTGAGCCGATTGGCATTCTCCCGCCGGACACAGGTGCGATTCCGAGAGACCCTAATGATTCGCGTCCTTTGCTTTTCTTGGCCGATGATTTCCGGAACCGAGTGAGTTCCCCTGGCGGCGTTCGATACATCTTCCAATTACAAGTGAGGCCGGTTCCCGAAGATGAATCTGAACGTGATGATGCAATTGACTGCACAAAGCCATGGGACACTTTAGAGTTTCCGAACATCGATGTGGGCGAAATCAATCTTGAACAGAATCTCGACAGTGAAGAATCTGAGGCATTAGAGTTCAACCCTTACATTCGCTGCGACGGGGTGGATGTGATCCGCGCCACGTCCTCGTCACAAAGTGCCTCCATCGACCATGGACGCTCGTTGATCTACGAGATATGCCAGCACTTGAGGAACAAAGAGCCACTGCCGGAAGCTTGGAGGATCTTCATCGAACAATCAGACGTCAAAGTAGACCTCTCTGGCTGCCCAATGGCAGCAGCCCCAATCACGAAGATGATGAAAAGGGCGTCCACCGAAAAAGTGACACTGGCGAGAACATGGTACGAGACAACATGGGCAACTCTCGTTCAGCCATTTCTACAAACACTTGTCCCGCATTTCTTAATCGGCCTGGTAATCTTCCATCCTCTGAAGTTCACACTCTCCTTTCGACAAACAACCAAAACCCCTCTCCACTATTTACTCCCCTTCATCTGGGTTTCCTCTGGCCTTCTCTCCGGCCTTGCCTGCATCCTCGCAAAGTGGATCCTGGTGGGGAAAAAGAGAGAAGGGGACACGGTTTATATATGGAGCATAGGGGTTTTCCTAGACACAATTTGGCAAGCATTCCGAACTGTGATCGGAGACTACTTTGTGGAAATGACTAGCGGGTCACTCTTCTTCAACCTCTGGGTAAAGCTTATGGGTACTGAGATCGATTTGGGTCAGGGTGCATATATAGACTCCATGGGAGCGACCTTGAACCCGGAGATGGTGGAGGTTGAAAGAGGTGGGTGCATTGGCAAAGAAGCTTTGTTGTTCGGGCACATCTATGAAGGCGAAGGTGGGAAGGTGAAGTTCGGAAAGATTAAGGTTGGAGAAGGTGGGTTTATTGGGAGCAGAGCTATCGCCATGCCTGGAGTGAGGATTGAGAGTGATGGCAATCTCCATGCTTTGTCTCTGGCCATGAAGGGGGAAGTTATTAGGTGTATGTAACTAGAATGAGCAGACATAATCTTGAGTGAATTAGATGGCTACTTTGTTGTAAGCTTGGGAAATAAACTTCTTTAACTATAATGTCACTTTTAAGGGTTGGAGACTGTTGTTGATATAACAGTCAAATTGGGTGTCCAATAAAATGAGCTTGTGTGATGCAATGTAGCTCTTTTTTTGTATGGATATACATTAGAGTTTTGAGTCGCCTGATTGAGAATTGAACGATTGTGGGGTGTGTGGCACGCATACAAGGTTTAGACACATGCAAAATAGGTAAAGTAAACCAATGAATTAACAAATCGGGTCACTGAATAGGCACGATAGATCATGAAGTGCTACAATCATTACGACATTCTCAATGACTCATACACAAATAAAATAAGTAAGATCGAACATTGATTGAGAAGACGAGAATGATGCAGAGTCTATATTGCTACCAAACAGATAACCCTGCTTGTGTCTCTGGGGTAAAATAAAATCTAACTACACTCACAGTATGCCTTTCAATAAGGATGATAATTGTCTACCCATGGATAATTTTACCCAAATCCAAGTAAACATATTAATTATGGGTGAAATTATATATGAGTTTGAATTTTTATAGATGGGTTTTGGTAGGGCAGGAATATTACTTTTATATTCCGAATGAGTATTGGTTGGGTATGAATGTCTATTTGTTTTAGATAGTCTTAACTATATATATAATTGGGATCTATTTGTAAAATTTTAAAAGTTTATGTATTATGTTCCAGCAAAAAATGTAGGTACTCTAATATAATTTGTATCGATATTTCTTGGACTGTTTTGAAAAAATTTATAAGTTTAGATATTGAATGATAAAAAAAGTGGAAATTTATGTACCAAACTGAATATCGGTAGAACTACAAACAACCCCATGATTTTGAGCAGAATTACTAACCCTATCTCTGAATCTGATTCAACAAGCTGTCTGCATACATCTTGTCTTGGTTCAATGTACTTGATCATTGAGAGACTCATTTAAGGCCACACACAAAAAAAAAAAAAAAAAAAGAAAAGAAGATCAGACTTGTTGTCCGTGGGGAAATGTGTTCCAGTCTGAAGAAATATTTGGCCCGAGAATTGCTACGGAACATGGGCCGAATCCACCCGCAGGCCACAGCCAAGGGACAGGCGAGCTGGGCTTACAGCCCAATCATATATTACAATTGGATGCTGCAACTGCAGTTGCTCCTGCTGAAGATGCAGAAGACCGTTAGATATTAGTTGGTTGAAAATTGTACCAGTTGTGTATGAATTGAGTCATCGGGTGTTAGAACTTACAGGTTCTTAGATGGTAGTAGTGTTGCATAAATTTCTTTAATAGTTGTAATTAGATTGTGCTGCTTGGTTTCCCATCCTTTCTTGATGAATACAAATGTTTATTCATAAAAAAAAAAATTATCACGTAAATTCACATGGTTTCGCACAAATTCATTCGCCTTTTGTTCATCATAATACAATTGAATATCGTGACTGCTTGGAGACACAAGAATAATAAGAAAAACGACAATAACTAAAGAAAAAAAGTATAAAGCATGCACCTGAAAGATGAGAAAAAAAAAATCATTGTTATTATTATTGATTGTTCACTCACGATACAAAAACCAGTTGAAACAACAACGACTCAAACACACAAAAAAAAAAGACATAAAACTTAGAATCATTAAACCACACACACAAACAAACACAACCAAAACACAACATAACATGGCATGGTGCACAACACTACTCCATCTTCACACCCTCCTCCTCCTCCTCCACCTTAACCTCCACCTCCATTCCATCACCACCATCACCATCTTCATCACCATCATCACCATCTTCATCTTCATCTTCATCACCATCATCATCATCACCATCTTCATCTTCATCTTCATCCTCATCCTCATCATCATCACTATCACTCTCATCATCAAAATCTCCCTCCACAGAGACAATCCCATGGTCAACCATGATCCGAACCGTGGTCGAAGGCGTTTCACCATTGTTGGCTCCCTCCCCATACTCGGGAGGGAGATCCTTCAACGTGCTCCCGGGGAGGAGGAGGAGGTGTCGGGCCGACTGGACGACCTTTTCGACGACGGGATTAGGGTCCATCATCGGGATCGAAACCCACTCCACCACGTCGCGCAGCACGGCCACGGCCGTGTCAGCCCTGAGCAGCGGGCGGTGGGGGAGGGTGAAGGCGCGGTGCCTCATCACGGTGTCTTCGAAGCCGTTGTCGGCCCGGGTCTCGGTGGTCAGCACCACCACGTTGAGGCGGATGTCGTCGTTGTTGCCTGCCGCCGCCGCCATTGGAGATCAGAGAGAGGGGAGCGGATTGAACTTAATGTGAATTGCTATGTGTTTTGTGTGGCACCTTGGTAGAGTGTATTTATAGAGAAATGGTTACCAAAGGTACGTAAGAGAGTTTTTAATGTTTTGACTTATTTAAATTGATCCAAATTATGGAATGGGAATCTAGCTAGTATGGTTCGTTTCTTTTTTAAATTTGTTACCTTTTGTAAGTTGGTGCATATAGTGTGTGTAAGTCTAATAGATTTTCTGTGTGTGTAATAACATTGTTCGTGTTTCTCTCCGATCGATATATTCGTGGTATCTGTAGTGCGATCGATTGTTTGCATTGATGCTTAACTGCCAGGTATTATCATACGTGTGTGCCGCAGTTTGATTGTTACGTTGTATTATTACTTCTGATCATGATTGTGTTTTTCCGTACGGACACAAAATTTTGGTAAATGCTACAGGTAAAATATAAGACCGTTGTAACAATAAATGATCAATACGCAAAACCTTTCGAGTTTCAAATAAATTATGGAAATGAATTTATGCGCCCGCATGTAAATTTAGTCTTTTTCGGTTTTTTTTTTATAACCTAATGTAGCATACGGTTTATAAATCTTCGTGCATATAGAATTCTTCATGCATGTCTCGATCGATTCAATCTATCTGTTAATTGTTTGCTCGATAGTTTGATAGTTGTCTGTATCAGTATTACTTATTGGCTCTCGTATTAACACAAGACCGAATTTCTCCATGCTAACGAAAATTGCAACAACTACTTCGAACGGACATGAAACAGTTATAACGATAATACGCAAAAAAAAACTTGTTTAGAGTTCGAACAATAAAAAATTTACTGAGCGATATATTTGCCATATTATGAATTGGTTCTAATAGGAAGAAAATTTTAATATATAGTTCTTATGCAAAATGGGAAAGAAATCCTTTATTTCTTTCTTTCTTGTTTTCGTGACAGTACATAGACATCATGAATTTGTTGCCTTCCATTCTAAAACATTGCTATAGACCGGCATTTTGTAGAAGGGGAATGTTGAGTGGAAAGGATTTTAAATGTTTTGTCTTTATTTAAATAACAATTTATCCAAATTTTGTGATAGAGTTTAAATGTGGTTCATTGTATGTCAAAAATGTTAAAACATATACGGGTAGCAAAGCTTAACCTGCAAAAGACTTCTCATATTATGAAATTTGTTACCTTTTACTTTTAAGGCAGTATAGTGCATAGTTTACAGATTTTCTCGTGTATAAAATTCTTCGATTTATTCAATATTTTCATTGCTATCGATTATTCGCATTACTTACTTGTTGTCGATATCACCATATGTGTCATGTGTGTCAATTTGAGTAATATATTTGTAATGTCAATGCATAATAGGTTTATTGTGTACTAGCACAAATCTTACAAATGTTTCAAACAAACATAAAACCGCTGCAACAATAACCCAACACGCAAAACCTATTTGGAGGTTTTCATCTTTTAACGTGTAGAATCCTTCAAATGTCTTGATTGATTCAGTATCTTCATTAATTGTTGGCACTACAATAGGGTAGCCCGTATGATGGCTAGAAAAGCCCTCTTTTTGTCTTTACCTATTCTGAGCAGTTTTAATTTTTGCGCTTGGCTCTGTTCGGAGGCCTAAAACGTCGTATCTTTGTTATTCTTGGTAATGCAAGCTAAATTTGATAATAAAAAAATATATAGAATCCTCGTAACATTAACATGTTTATACGAATCTGTTTTTCTTTGTTGTTATAGTTAGAATATTTAAATTAATATAATTTTTTATGGTTAAATAGTTAACTTTTTTTTGTGGGAATAGTTAAATATATTCTTATCAGAAGAAATCGAATTTTCGAAATTATTTTACAGAAACAAACTGATAAAATAAAACCTCCGGCGGTGTTTTTATCCCATTTGGTCTCCTCAGTTCTCTCCGTCCTTCGACTTGCGGCTTGCCTTTGTGTTCCTCTCTCTCTCTCTCTTCTAGAATCTCTCTCTCTTGAACAGAAAAAGGTGATGCCAAGTTACCTTCCCTTTTTCGTATACATCGAATTTACAGGAAAAAAGAAATAATGGATTCGATTCACGGTAACCAAAAATTGCCCCATCTTTCTTCTTATGACCTCCTCTGACCATTTTCGTCCCCTTATCTGCCCCTTCCCAATCCAAAACGGCGCAGGCAATTGGGGAATCGAGATTCCGATAGATAACAAACAAAAACCAGAGAAGAATCAAGGGGTAAAAGAAACCCACTTTGTGATTTTTTTTAGGGTTCTTCTGATTTGAATCGCCCGCAGAAAGTTCAGAACTTTGCCTGCTAGATGGGCGAATTGGAGGAGATTGCCGCTGATATCTGGTATGTTGCTCTTCATCCCGTTGGAATTTCAATTGGGGGTTGAACTTGTTTGTCTCTTGCATGCGTATGTGTTGAAAAGTTCGAATCTTTATGTTGATTTATATGGAATTTTAGCATCTGTTGTTTGGTTTGGAGGTTTGTTTTGATGAATTCGATGGCGGGAATACTTAGGTTTCATTTGAGAGGTAGATTGAGCTGTTTTGTTACCTAGGTGATGAACTCGGAAATTGATTGGGTGGTAAGATTCTGTTGTGGTTTAGGAGTCGGATTGTTACTTGTGGAAGATCTTGTGCTCGTAGTTATGATTTTCCCTTCATG